ATCGGAGACGAATGAAATAAGTTTAAGACCACATTTGAGCACGTAGCATCACCGTTTATCGCATGGCCAGTACGTAACCTATGACATTGACCATTATGGATTAATAAGGAAACCCGGTAGCTGTTCAAGCGTAGGAAACAATTCTGCGACTTATTCTTGTCAACGGGACACGCATCTTTAAGTGTGAATATCGAAAAATCCGGAATTTATGTAAAAAGAACATCGCTAAATCCCGTACTTCTTACGAAATACAATTGGCATGTGATAGCCGTACTTGTCCGAAACGACTGCTTTCATATGTTGAACGATGAACAAAACGTAGTGATGGTATTCCCCCATTACTGTTACATGAAAATTCAGATTTACTAACTGAAACAAATTACACAGATTGAGATCACGAGTCAGTTGAAATTTCTAAAATCTCTACAAAACCCATTCTGAAACAAATTAGTCAAAAGCTGAGACATTTTCAATTAATCTTAGCGACGTCTACTCTACGTTTGTTGTTGCAAATACTTGTCCCAATCACACCGAGATAACAGCCATTGTATCTGTACACGTTACTGAGTAAACTGATTTTGCATTGATAACTAACCTCAAACCTAGTAAGTTACAGGGCTCTGGCGGGTTACATCAAAGACTGCTGTCGTCTCTTGTAGATATAATTTCAAGGTAACTCTCGACACACTTCAATAAGCCTCTTTCACTCGCCCAGCTCCCTAGAGATTAGAAAGACATTAGAGTCAGTTCTATATTTAAGGATGGTCAGAGGCTGATCGTATCTAACTACCGGCCTGTCAGTCTAACTAACATTGTCGTTAAGTTACTTGAAAAGATAATTCGGGTTCAGTTACTAAGTCACATACATTCACACAGTCTCTTAACTCTCAAGCAACATAGATTTCGTAACAAGCGTTCATGCTTGACTAACTTACTTATTGCGAGAGGATTGGACAGCAGCCTTAGATAACGGTCTGTCTGTCGATGTGATATTCATAGATTTTACCAAAGCATTTGACAACGTTTCACACTTAGGTCTTATGCTGAAGCTCTCGAGTTTCTGAATAACAGGAGCTGTACAGGAATGGATAGGAAACTTCTTATGTGACCGCAGACAGAGAGTGAGGATCAATGGAACGCTATTCGAATGGAGGCCAGTCAAAAATGATGTACCCAAAGGCACCATCTCAGGCCTTCTGCTCCTCCTTCTCTACGTCAATGAGTTACCGTTGTTGCTTAGGTCGTCGACATTATTGTTTTCGCATGACGCAAAAATATGGAGAACAATAAAAAGTGAGGCTGATCATCTGAATCTTCAAGCTGACTTAGGCGAATTAGTTGGGCTCGAAGTTGGTGCTTGGAAGTTAATTCTAGGAAGAGCGTACTTATGCACATCGGACATGGCAATAATTACCATTATACTAATGATGATACATCTCTTCCACGAGTTCAAGAACACGAAGACTTAGGAGTATTAATAAGCCATGACTTGAAAACAACTACGCATTGCAATGCAGCTGCTTTCAAAGGTTCTCGTACGTTATGGTCCGTTCGTCTAGCATTCAAATGCTTTGACGAGGAAATGTTTCAAATTTCATATTCCGCCTACGTAAGACTATACTTAGAGTAATGTATCCAAGCAGCTAACCCATGTCTGATAAAGGATATTAACTCACTTGAGAGTGCCCAGCGTGTGGGAACAAAATTAGTGAAGGGTCTCTCTAAACTTCTTACGATGAGCACTTAAAACGCCTAAACCTTTACCCCTTGTCGTATCGTAGGACGCGAGGTGACCTTACACTGGCATTTCGTTTTGTTTATTGTAATTTGGATGTTAATGTCTTATCTGTTCGTTCTTTCCAGCACTCATAATCTCCGAGGTCATAGCAAGAATGTTCACAAGCCGCGATCCAATAAACTTAATTTGGCTCCCGTTTCTCTCATCGAGTAGTCAATGACTGGAACGCCTTACCCGAAGAAGTGATATTAGCCCCATCAGTGAATATTTTTAAGGAAAAACTGGATCTTCACTGGAAGGCAATCTGTCAGGATTAATACGGGTTCACCAGCCTACTATCCTTACTACTGAAGAATGAACACTGAAGACTGAAGAACATTTCGCTTAACGGGCGTTCGTATTTGGTTGCATTGGACCACTAATGACTCTAGTTGTTGGTCAAGTTACATTTCACAAATTAAGGAGAAATTTTATTGAATTATTTTAGAACGCTGCCTCAAACCCTTAATAATAAACTAAGTCTCATCTTTATGGACTTTTGGGAAGTCGCTTGGACTACCTTAATCAGAAGCGAATCCCAAAATTTGAATACTCGTAAAGGGTAGAAGGTGTGTCAACATTCCGTTCTGCTATATAGTGTCGCTAACTTCTCTCTGTATCTCCTTAGGTTTGGGCTGGGACTGAGCCTGAGTGGGTATTTTTGAGGATGTTTGGGAGTTTTCGAGATGCCGTAAGTTGTTAAAAAGCCACCTCAGAAACACTTATGCTCTAAAGGGCAAAGATACACTGACCAGACGGGTTCCTCATGTGGTCTGAAGTTGAGTCGTCGGACTGATTCCACGGCTAATCTGCGGGTGGATCCAAATGTATTTTCATTTATTGGATCGAGGAACAAACACCAAGTGATATGAATATATAAATAAAGCCATGACAAACAATCAAAACCATTTTGGGGACATTATTTCACGACACCCAAAGTTTGTAAAATACTACCATTTAGTTTTGTCCCAAATTTGCTACATAAACCATGGGCTTTTATTTGATGTGTGATTCGTCGCCATGCTCTTTTCTTTCTTGAAGCCGTTGTAATTTAAACGCGACTGTTTGTTGTCCATTTTTCTACACCAATGTCTAGATTAGACATAATTGTGTGTTTTTTACTTGCTCGTGCATTATGGCCGTGTTATTCATCTTATTACCATATCTTTTTACACCGATCTGAATCAGCAATAAGTTAAGTGGTGTTCCAGTTGACTTGTCTTACCTCTTGCTCTCTCGTTTGCTAACCAGTAAGGTGGTAGAAAAGTTTTCATCCTCCTGTCCAATGCTGTTATTGTCAATTCGAACTCACTCATTTCTGGCCCCAAGGTCGAACCACTGTGTTTGTTGTGTCAAGGCGTTAGCATGGATCCAGACAAGCTCTCTCCTGTATATTATTGAGCAAATAGACCAAGGACGCAACATTATGCTTGTTGTATTTTATCTAGCGCCGAACGAAAATGTTAGGAATCAGATGGGAATTACTGCAGCCAAAACAATAAAAATCCTCTTCAAAATTTTTAGGAAAAGGTTCACTCGATCTGCATTTTTGCCACAGTTAGCGCAAGATCCTACATGATAGGGTACCAAAACCTCCAGAGTTGCTGATGTGGGACATCTTTAGAGGGGAATTACCCAAGCTATATGTGTGGTATTTAACATATTTCAGACGGGCTACTTTATAACTTTCAGTTTTAACAGTAAATCCGTAGTTATTCGCCCACCTTTTAAGTCAAGTCAGATCCTCCTAATGTGCCAGATTACCATCTTGTTCTTTAACTTCTCTCCAAGGTTTAAAATTGTTAGGGTAAAGTAGTATCTTGGATAACACTAGACGGGGAAGTTCACTCGCATAGATTATAATCAGAAGATATCCTAGTACGGTATGCTGAAAGACCCTGCCAGGACATTTTTAGCGTAATTAAAGTATGCTATGGCCCTAAAACATCGCTTATTTAGATATGAAGCGAACGGAACGACTAACGTCGACATGAAATTTAACAGGTTTAGCTTGTTGACGAAACGTGTATGACTGACTCCACCAAAAGATTTAGACAAGTCAAATTGTCACATCTAGTGTCCCCTTTAGATCATGTCAGGTATTCCATCTGTGCAAAACATTTAGCAACGTTGTTGTAAGGGAAAGATCCTTTCTGCAACTGTGTTTTTAGGGCAAAAAAGAAATTTATGAAAAATGTAAACTGTCAACTCTATCCAGTTGATATGTGGTGTGTTGAAGATTCTAATAACGATACAACGTTCTACTTTACTCCAAAAACAGTCGTATCCTAAGATAAAGTCATCAACAAGACAACACGGACTACGGTATATTTCTCCTACGGTCGCTAACCCGTTGCTGGACTTAATTGTACAACATGCTACCTCACATGTACCACTAACATGCGTCTCCGATGTGATTGATTGTATATGCAAATGATCCATAACATACAACATTATGCATCCTCCCTTGCGACTTAGAACTTCTAATGTAGATTTAATTTGCAATGATGGGAGAACAGTATATATCTATGGTGAGCCAAGTTTCCGTGATAACAATTATATCGGGACTTAATTCATCCACCATCAAACTTAGCTCGGACGTTTAATTTCGAAGACTGTGTGCGTTCATATAACACGTTTTTAAGGTGCTTAGGGAATTATTCGTTCTACCTATACAGGTCTCAGAAGCATTGGCTTCTAATACCTGACTACTCGAAAAACCATAATAGTAAGGTTCCTTTATCCATTTAGCTTGCGAGTCCTCAACTTCGACTTGGTTCGATCCTCATGAGGCTAATCTGGTCGGATACGAGTATTTGGATCACGAGTTTTGTGTGCTTTATTCAATATTATGTCTCTTTCTTCAAAATTTCTGAGTACCGACTTCAAGATCCTTCTTGGTTGGGTCTCGCGCCTAACCTCTTCAGACAGTACATTTCAAATGGTTCAAATGGTTGTGGACGGAATAGAAGAAGCTTTCGCTTAACAGGCTTCCGTGTCTAGTAGCAGGGGATCACCAAATCCTCCAGGCAGGAACCTAGGTATGTTAACAATAAAAGAGGATTCCACTAACTGCAGATCGCGTGCATGTCTTTTAGCAGGGTCATTGTTTTTCGACTCCACCAGATTCCAAATAACTAAACTGAGAGGGTTTTGACTTCTTTAAAATTTTTCGGAATTTTGCTTGTTTAATGAAAACAACAAAAAGCGCGCACAAGGACATCCACTGGTTCAGACAAGCTCATGGTAAAGATATTTTATTTTGGATATTGCAATGTCTTAGTTTTTGTTCCAACAGGTAAGATAGGCGGTCTATTTGAATCTGTCATCCAACCTCCGAAGAATGCGATTATAAGATGGTTTTATTGGTCCTTAATAAAGTTCAGACTTTCCCATTATCCAGTTAAGTCTTGAGATTCACTCAACGAAAATCTGTAATCTTCTGATTATTCAAACATCTACCCAGGTTATTACTCGCAAGTGTAATTAGTCAAAAAGCTTAAAATCTTAAAGACTGTTTGGAACAAAGAAATTTTAGAGCTAAAATTTAGATAGCCTTGTTGACAAGCGTATCAGTAAAATACTCTGAGCTCATGGATTTCATAGTAATTCGATTCAAGGAGTGCATATCAGCAAGCTATGCCAAGTAGTCTGAGTATGTGAAAAGACTGAGACTTTCGGACGAACACGTGACTTAATTGCTGGGGAATAATCCGTTCATCTATGCCAAAAACTGTAGTGCTTATGGCCGTTTAAAAGCAGACAACACGAATTTCTACAGTTGGCCCACTATTTCTCGGTTTCAGTTTGGCCCGACTTTCTGTCGACGACGTCGACAGACAGCTCCATTCACGTGTTGAGGTAATGAATCCCATTCCTTGATGATCCAACTGGATAGTCGATAGTCAGCTGACAACTAGTTTATTCTGGGCTTGTGAACATTTTAAGTGTCCTCGTAAGTTCTCTGTTTTGGAAGACAAGAAAATTGTGGACACATCAGATGCGAATTTACCACTAAGTTGTCTAAAAACTGTGATCAAGTCACCTCTGGTTCTTCTATATGACAATGAGAATGGGTTTAGTTTAGCCAGTCTGTTATCATACAGGAGCTTCGCTATTCCGAGAATGAGTTTAGTTGCAGCTTTTTGAATTTTTTCCAACAGCTCACTCTCTTTAGGCAGGGACTAGCTGCTTGCATGCAGTACTAGGGTTTAGGACGAACAAGCAATCTATACAAAATCGAAAAGGTTTTAGAATCGACGTAGCTGAATACTAACACATAGACTATAGGGTTCGAAGACCTTTGCGGCTATTGTATGGTAGTATGCAGTAGCTTTTAGGTCTTAGCCCTGCGGTGCCGTAGTATGGCGGGGTTGGGGTGGATCCGCTCGCCCACGCGTGAACCGCCACTGACAGGGAAGTCCTACTCATTGCCTTCTCGTGGCGAGGGTGTTGTTTACAAAATTGAGAGGACGAAAAGCGAGTGTCTGGCGCTTTAATCGGGTTGGTGGATACAAAGGGTCCACCTAGGGTAGTTGGGAAACCCTGATTCCAAACCAATGGTGCGCATTGGCTCCCGGATCCTGGGGGAGTAAATGGCGTGTGAAGCCATCGTTGGTTACCAGCTACCATGAGATCACACCTCCTCACGCTGCCTCACTACCTTTTGAATTAGACGTTTAGGTCAAAGGATCCGAGTGTGGCCCTCTAGGGAGTCCACCTGCTTCAGTTTGGACACCTGGGTAGTATCACAGCCTTCAGACAAATCAAGTGACCTGTGTGGCGCATATGTATTTGGTGCCTCATTGTACCAATGTTTATGCGTTCTAATAAATAAATAAGCCTACTATGGCGTTCTTATGGTCTTTCTGCAATCTACTTTGGGTTACATTTAGATCAAAATATATGCTTAAGGGATTAGCGATGAAATTTGGCAGTTCATTTAGTAACCTAGATGCGTTTCTAACTTTTGTTATTTTTCCTTATTGCAGCCGTGGGAGGCGGCAACTATTTATTAACATAAAGATCCAGTCACATGTCGAAACGCTCTGGCTTAGGTGTGGTATGTCATATTTTTCCAGCTACTTAACTAGAAGTAAGATCACTAGCGAAGAGTTATCAAAACCTTTAAAATTGTCCAAGCCATCTTTGGATAGTGATGAAGAAGACTATAACGATAAAGATTGTTTCCGATTACATGAAGCAGATATAGATGGTATCTGGTTGTTTACTGTATATTATTCTACAAGGTCAGGAAGCTACGACTTTAGAGTATGATGATGAAGTTAAAATAACTCCATTTAACATGAAAGAAGAGCTTGAGGAAGATGGTCACTTCGATTCCGCTGGCACTTTCATTTTCAAGAAAGTTAGTAGAAAAATTATGATTAACGGTTACTATTATTATAGCAAGTTGATGCTCGTGATAATTGGTTAGAAGATATTAATTGGCTAGAAGTCAAGAAAAACCAGGAAAAGAATTCATTGAAAGACACATCGATAAGCGATGAACTCGGCGGGAAAATGCTAAGTAAAGAGGAGAAACTCGCTTTGTACCAAGAACTCTTATCTTATTTACAACCTTCTGAGACCGTTCTGCGCAGTATCAGACGTATGGGTGCTTGTTCAGATGCTAAGAAGTCCGCTTCAGCCAGCCAACGCTGGCTACGAAATAAAAATCCGAAAACTGAAACTCAGACGTAAGTGTCACATATGGTATTGTACTTGTGGTTATGGCATACGTATTCCAGTTTATCATGTTGTGTTAGAGATGATGTCTAAACAACTCATTAAAATTGTAATACGAATTAAAGTGTAGCGTTCCATTTGTTTCTAATTTTGAAATTAATATTTATTCATCAGCGGTGAAAAGGAATAATGATACGAACATCATGGAGAAATATTTCACTCTTTGTGTAATTAGAGAAACTCATCGAAACATTCGGAATTGGAAATGTCATTTACTGAAACAGTACAGTTGCATTTATAATTATTTAGCACACACAAGTCTGTACTAAAATAGATGTTGCATTTAAAAAGTGGTCGGAAGTGTTTTCAAGTACTGAAAAACGTTAAGTGGAAATAGATTATAGATAGAAGATAAGTCTCTGCTCACAGAATATTGAGAAAATGCGGATAAACAAAAAGGGGTTATAGCCTCTTAGGTTATAAAAACTAATATTATTTTTCTATGACCAAGGTAATGTGAGGACTTGGAGATCTCGTTCTTAGACAAATCGGTCTTAAAATAGTTAATTCCCAACAATCATATCTCTTGAAATCCAATAAATGTATCATTCACTAGTAGAACGTGGTAGTGAAACAGATTCATACACTGTTTTCTCTCACATTCATGATGTAAACGGTAAGGAAAACTAATCCCATGTCCAAACCAAATTAGTTGAGTTGAAAAATAGTCCCTCTGAATTAGCAATTCAGGTACTTTGCCTTTTAATTATTATGTCGTGGCTTCACGTTATGGAACCGGAATATGACCCAAATTCAGTTCAAATGTGTACTAGTGTATATTCATTGTATGACTCATAATATACTGGGATCTTGAGATGTCTAGGCAGTAACAGTCATACTTGTATATTCAGGACGAATTGTTCTAAGAAACATTTTCATCCTTGAAAGTTATATTTACTACATTCGCTTGGTTATCGTAGACAAATCGGATACTTTTTTCATTTCTAAAAAAACATCTTCCAGTGGCAATCCAGAAGGATTAATTCGTGTTACTGAATTAGCTGACCAACTTGTTCAAGGCGGAGATTTCGATGTTTATCAAAAAACATTCGACGATATCAAAAAACTGGTAGAATGTACAAAACAATTCGCAGCAGATGATGAACTTGAAGTTCTCGGTCAGGCATTTGATGAAAAGCAAGCTGACAATAAAGGTTTGTTGTTTTTACCTGGAAAGTGAGCTTCAATCTATACTGTGTGGTAAAATTAGTAAACATTATCGTAGCGGTAATATTCAAGACTACAGCTTTCAGCGTTTTGGTTTGAAATTCTCAAGGCAGCACGCCTTGTAATTTTCGAAGACATTTCGCTACATCTACGACTGAATACGTGATTAATTTGAATTAAACGAAATAGAATTTTTTGTAGTCCACTTAAATATACTTAGCGACTTTCGATTCGTATCGCAGCGACGTTAAAATTAGTAACTTCCAAGATATTTATTATCTAGGAAATAACCATGGATTCCATGTTTGACCTAGAAAAAACATTTATCAAGACAGTCTACTCATTTTAATTCTTTCAAGGATATTTGCACTTAAATGTTACAAAACACCAGTCACTAAAGTGTGTTAGCTACAGGCAGGCTAAAACCATTTCTTTTCTCATGAAAAGTATTTATGATCACCTTCCATATTTTCTTATCCTATTTCTCTTGCTATGTATCCGGAATCACTCCATGGTTAAAATACTTTTGATTGATTAGATTAGATGTTAGATGTTGTTAACCTATTTGTAGTGAAAAAAGAGCAAAATTGTAATACTGGACACAAACTTGCTTTAGTTCCAGTTATTAGACGATATCGATGCTGTAAGGGAAAACTAATAAGAGATGAAGTAAAGTGAATAGGAAACAATTTAAAAAACGAACGAAAGTCACGGAATGGTACTGTTTACCCTAAACAGCGAGAACATCATAAGTCGAAGTAGTACATTTTAGCTGCTGAGACAGTGAGCTTGCTCATAGTCACTTTGAATCACAGCTAATCGTCCATAGGTGTTAGAGGGATATAGATTGGATCAGAGCATGTTTTGTGCAGGATTGTGTTTGGGCACGCTAATTGGCTATTTCTTGACTAACCAGCGCTAAGGAGTACTTGGAGAAGACTGTAGAATCTTCCCATGTAAAAATCATGAATGTGCTCTCATTTTTTTATTTTGATTCCTACTTCCATCCACCTTTGTTATATGGAGTGCAATTGCACTCATGTTCAACCGTGTTCTGATTTAGGGACTTGTCGAGTGAAGTAGTGTCCAAGAATACTAAGCAATAAGAGTAGTTGAGTCGTAATAAGAGAAACCATAACAACAGGCTATATTATATATATAATCCAGCTATCGGTCTACCACAACAATGAATAGCAGACAATAGGATATTACACAAATTTGTAAGCTTCATCGGCAATTACACTAGTTCCGTTGGTTAATAGCAGCATACAGGGGATCGAAACTAAATATAATTCTTCTCATACATCTTGCACGGTTTGTTGAGTCACACTTCTGTTTTGTCGACATGTATATGTGGCTAATAACTTGTATTAACTTATAAGGTTTGTAAAATTGGTTAAGTTTCATATTTGGATAGAAAATAGGAATTTCTGATAAATCTGTAGGTGATCTTCAATGTCTACTTAGTTGGTACTGATCATCTTCAAAATCGTATTTATGACTGTCACTGAAGTCAACTAGTTATTGGAAATTCTGATGACAAGTCGTAATGTCTAGTGTCAGTCAAGTATTGTATGACATTTGTAGTATGCATAGAACATACTGTGTTGTCTTTTGGATGGAATTAATAGTTAACTCTCATAAAACTTGTCGTATTAGTCTGAAGATATATATCCTGTACACAATGTTCAGAAGCATTATCGAGATCAAATACACTATGCAAAGAATGATTGCTTCAATCAATTTCTAGTTTCCTTGTATGGTTGATTTTCTAAAATAGTTGACCTCATTCATGTTCAAATTTCTAAAATGCTTATTAGATGGAATCAAATCAACTGAAGAGCATGATGGTACTGACCATGATGGCAGTAATAATAATACCTCAGTCATGTGGCATTTAAAACGCTCAAATAAACCAAATACAGAGATTGAAGGACCATACACATCTGAACAATTAAAAGTGTGGCTTCAAGATGGAACATTTAATGACGATGACAATATTTTAATACGTGAATCAACGAAGTCCGATGGACAATTCTATAACATCACACGTATTGACTTTGATTTGTATGAATGAGAGAGTAAATATTTACTTCTTCAATATTATGTTCCCTTCGTTTATGTATTCTATTGTATATAGAAAGATTTGTGAATATATATGTTCGTTTTTTCTGCTAATTTTTTTACCTTACCCTTCGCATAATTTTATTAGCATATTGAGAAAGAACATTTTATTCATTTTTGTTTAACGATCGATGTTGCAGTATTTATGGAGTGGCAACACATTTTTACCGAAAATCAGGGAATTAAATATTTTACACTTTCCACGTAGTGTTTCGTGGACAGGGTGAAAATTTGATTATAGTTCACATTACTAACTAATATTGATGGGAGAACTTGAAATTAAACAATTAATGTTTCGTCTCACGAATCTCCAATACTTGCTTACTCCTGTCACGCCTCGTAAAGCATAGACCACCAACAAGGATTCTTCAACCAATCTTTACGAAAGTCAATCTATTGATATCAAAATTGAGCATCTACAGAGTCCTTTATTCCGTTCAACATCACTGTGTTGAAAACTTTTCCTGATGCTGACAGTCGTGTGATGCCACCGTAGTTCTCACACCATCCGAGACCCCTTTCTTTGGTATTTTGATGAGGTATTCTTCTTTCCAGTCTGTTGGTACTTGTTATTCCTCCAAAATGTTTTGAAGAGAACGTAGAATATTTTTGCAGTTACCTCTATTTAACTTAAGTGAATAAAAGCTACATGCTCTCTAATGACTAACTCTAAGACTGAGCAAGCAATTGTGTTTTATTGAATTCGATCATAATTGGAATGAGACAGTCTTCACTGATGTTATCGTATAGTTTCGACAATAAATAAGGGATTGACTGAAGTTGGAACTGTGAACTACTGTATGCCAATTCAGTAGTCTAAGAATAATATGATCCCTATCAGAACTGATGGTTGTGAATTCGATCGTTTTCACAGAACTACGGAATCTTAGAACAAAGTATTTTTACAGTGCTTAGTTGTTCTTCACTAGTCATCGATACCCCATGAAAATTCCCTTCACAAAAACGAAACTCAGTCATTATTAGTAAACAACGGTTTCCGTCTAATCATATCTTTGGAGCTTCATTAACGTAAAATCTACAGAAGTGTCACGGAGGACTAGTTTTTGTGAAACTAGTTCGTCTTCAAAGAACTCTTGTGCGTTGAAGTTGGTCTTTCTTCTTATCTTAACCTCTGTTTTTCTTAAACAGGTAACTGCAATAGAATAGAAGAATCTGGATGAAAAGTTTTCTTTTCGACGAAATCATTTAGTTAGGCTTTGCATTCCTGTTTATAGTTATATGATAAATATATGTCTATTGAAGGATAGAAAAGATTGTATCATGAAGCGATACGATACTTTAAATGTCAGATGTGGTTGCGTAATAATCAGGGGGTTAGAGAAGTCTATGAGGATCGGAATAATTTACGGGTTAGAATTATGAAGGGTAATTGTCCGTTTGACAGATATGAAGATAATATGGACATAATAATAACAATAATAGTCCTGAAAAGTTGTTGAATAAATAGTCAAAAAAGCAGGGCTAATTTATACTAGAGAAATGAATTTGGGTCAAGGAATGATAAGAGGTAGAAGGTGTTGCTTTTGCACTCAGAGTTGGGGCTTGAATTTGTGGATCACCAACGCCTCAACAGTGCATAAGTTTTTTAGTCGAACTCCCTTGTAGCATAATGGTATTGCAAACGACATGTTATGATAATATGTGGTAACATTAATTTAATAGCCAATAATAGTAGGTTGATATGATTTCAACAATGCGATTGCCCATACTGACTCAGCATGTGACGAGACTAGTTAAGAAGGACGGTGATCTTAAACCCCGTCTAATGAAGATAACTTTCCTATCTTCCCATATGGCGGCTGCAGTTCTGGAAGCATTTCGTGCCAACAGACTTCGATTGCCACCTGGAATCCACATGCACCCGGATAGGCCATATGAAGCTAGGACCAAGCACAAAGGCAAGTTGGAGCTGACTATTCCAGTTGTGGACTGTCTAAATGATGAAAAAACGTGTGAAGGACGGGGTCTATCACCTCGGCAATCCTCACATAGGTGGACTACCTGTCCATTCACATAAGGCTCATACAAAAAAACAGGACGAAGCTCACGCGTTCCAAATTGAAAGCATAAACTGCTTATATATGAACGCCTCGAATCTACCAAACAAACTGGATGAATTATGTGAACTTTGCAACGCTAATAAAGCCCGCCTGTTAGGAATATCTGAAACCTGGATATCTTCTCAGTTCTCGGACCAAGAGTTAGCATTACCTGGGATGACTTTGTTCCGCAACGACAGAAAAACAGGAATTGGGGGCGGTGTAGCTATATACATAAGCTCTTGCTTGGAGGTGCACCAAGTTCACAGCCTCGAGTTTAACAATCTTGAGGAATCCATATGGTGCTCTGTAAGATTGTCTAGCACTTCGAGGTGTCTAGTCGGTGTCATTTACAAGAAGCCAACTGCAGACATCAAGTACGACAGTCGTATGCTGGAAGGACTATCCCGCTCTACCTGTCTCGGTTTCACACACATCCTGATCCTAGGGGACTTTAATCTCCCCGGAGTCAACTTCGCGGAACACACATACACTGGATGCTACAACTCAATTGAAGCTCGGTTCTTCAACCTCATCGATGACTTGGGCTTATATGAAAATGTGAGGTCGGCAACTCGTTGGCGAAACAGTCAGACACCATCGCGCTTAGACTGTGTATTCACAAACGAAGAATTCCTAGTTGACAACCTCTCAATCATGGCTCCTCTGGGAAAGAGCGATCATGCCGTCATAGCCTTCAGTTTCCTCATCAAAACTAAGCTAAGGTATCCCAACAATAATTTGCGTTGGAATTTTAAACGGCTGAATGTGCCAGCTCTACATGACTATCTACAACGGGTGGTTTGGGATGTTCACCCTCAACTCGATGTGTACGGTCATTGGGACTTCTTACTGCACACGCTCTTATGTGCTACAAACCATTCAGTTCCTCAAACGGTTCCCAAAAGCTTTAAGCCACCTACAATAATCAAGAACCGTACCCTTCGCCTGCTAAGCCGTAAAAGGCACTGTTGGGCGGAATACAAACGAACTGACAACGACGGAGCGTATAGGCAATTCAAACATATCAGGAACATATGCACGAAGGCTATAAGAGAAGACAGGCTTCATTACCAGACAAAGCTTATGGACAAATTTGCCTCGAACCCTAGAAGCCTATTCCGTTATGCAGCCTCTCTTCGTCAAGCCAAAACAGGAGTTTCTCAACTGCTAGGTCTTGACGGCCCGACCAACAACGATGGTGACGCCGCTAACCTTCTGGCGGCACATTACTCTCAAACATTTCAGCCGGCTGACATCAACTTTATTGACGACAGTTTCATCTGCAATTCCACAGGACTTTCCGAAGTGGACCTAAGCGCTGACTTGGTGTTCCGGAAACTGCAGCACTTAAGACTAAATACTTCTCCTGGTCAGGGTATGGTTCATTCTGCCATACTGGGGGAGGCAGCCTCAATCCTGGCAACGCCGCTTAGCGTGATGTTTTCACACTCGCTAAGCCGAGGCAAATTACCGAAAAATTGGAAGTTGGCTCACATCACACCAATTTTCAAAGGTGGTCGACGCAATGAACCTTCAAGTTATCGGCCGGTGGCTCTTCTGTCATTACCTTCAAAACTCATGGAGTCTCTGATATGCGATGGTTTAAACGACTATATATTGTCCTTAAATTTCTTCTCACCTCAACAGCATGGTTTCAGGAAGGGTTACTCTTGTATAATCAACCTGCTGACTGCGGTGGACAGACGAACAAGCATCCTCGATCGCAAGGGAAAGGTTGATATCATTTACCTTGATTTCTAAAAAGCTTTTGATAAAGTTAACTACTTGTGTCCTATCAATAAGCTCAAACGACTAGGTATCAAACCACCTCTAATCGATTGGCTTACTTCATACCTAGAAAATCGACACTTTAAGGTTCGGGTTAATTTCACTTTATCTCAGGCTATGGAATGTTCTAGTGCGGTCCCCCAGGGCTCAGTACTAGGGCCTCTTCTCTTCGTGATCTACATAAATGATCTTCCTCAACAGGTAACGTCAGACTTATTACTTTTTGCCGACGACGTGAAACTTTGGAGAGAGATACGCAACCAAGACGATACACAGGCACTTCAGGAGGATCTGACTCAACTTCAAAGTTGGGCAGACGATAACGGACTTACCTTTAACACTTCAAAGTGTAAAGTAGTCCATCTGCGACACGTTGCAGACTACAGTTACAACTTAGGAAACTCTTATCTAGTAGTATCCCAAGTCGAAAAAGATTTAGGAGTCCTGGTGTCTTACGCTAACTGTAACAAAAATGCCTTCCGAGCAAACCTTGCACTGGTAACGTTGAAGCGCATTTTCGGCCAGTTTGAGGGATGAATTTTCCATACAATCTTCAATAGTTTTATCCGTCCCTATTTAGAGTACGGAAACATAGTACTCCCCCCTCACTCCAAAAGGACAAGGTCACTTTGGAGCGTATTCAACGGCGAGCCACGAAATCAGTTCGAGGACTCAAATCTAAGCCTTACGAAGAACGCCTCCATTCACTAGACCTTTACCCATTAGAGTATAAGCGTCTTAGAGGTGATTTATTAATGGCTTATAGTATTCTTAACACTTCTGGACATCCTCTTAAACACCTACTTAAGCTTAGTTCGAATAATAACCTAAGGGGTAGCACCCAGAAACTGGAAACTCAACATAGCAAGACGGGATGTAGACACAACTTCTACTCCTTAAGAGTTGTCAAATGCTGGAATTCGCTGCCGGCCGAGCTAGTCCAAGCGACTTTTCAGGAGTCCTTCAAGAGGCCACTTGACCTATTCTTAAGGACCAAGGACAGTATCACACTATGATTTACCAATTTCTTTTCTTCTCTTATTGTTAACATACCTAGGTTCCCGCCTGGATGATTTGGTGATCCCCTGCTACTAGACACGGAAGCCTGTTAAGCGAAAGCTTCTTCTATTCCGTCCACAACCATTTGAACTATCTGAACAATTTGTAGACGTTTGAAGCGGCCAAATTAAAGCTTT